TCTCCAATGTATCTATAATTTTTTATTGTTCCATGCTATTATAGTATCAATTTTGGATGTTTTGTATGCAATTATATAACATTTTTTGGGACTAACCTATCAACCTAGTGCCCAGTGCTAGTTGTCGTTTTCTTTTTCTTGTTTTTGGCTTTTTAGAAAATCAATATCAAATAGAGTCCAAACAGAGAAAAACTTTGGATTATTTTTTTCTGGACCAGAAGGGACCCTACAAGGTTCGGGAGAAGACCTGAAGAGCCAAGAGGGAGCGACAAGCTCGGGAAGCGCGCCCCCAGGCTTGTGGGCCCCTCGTGGCACCTCTTGACCTAATTCCACCTCTATAAATTCCCAAATATTCTCAATACATCAGAGAGCCATCCCAAATACTTCTTCCGCCGCCACAAGTTCTTGTTCTTCCGCGATCCCATCTTGAGGCCTTTTCCGGTACTCCGCCAGAGGGGGAATCGATCACGGAGGGCTTCTACATCAATCTTGATGCCCCTTCCGATGATGTGTGAGTAGTTTACCATAGACCTACGGGTCCATAGCTAGCAGCTAGATGGCTTCTTCTCTCTCTTTGATCTTTAATACAATGTTCTCCTCGATGTTCTTGGAGATCTATTCGATATAATCTTCTTTTGCGGTGTGTTTGTTGGGATCCGAGGAATTGTTGGGTTTATGATCAAATTATTCATGAATATTAATTGATTCTTCTCTGAATTCTTCTATGCACGGTTATTATAGCTTTGTATTTCTCTCTCATCTATCTGTTTGGTTTGGCCAACTAGATTGATTTATCTTCTAATGGGAGAGGTGCTTTGTAATGGGTTTCAATCTTGCGGTTCTCAATCCCAGTGACATAAGGGGACATGACACGTATTTGTATTTTTTCCACTAAGGGGAAAACGATGGGTTTATTCATATTGGTTGGATTTACTTTGTCTGCATCATGTCATCTTGCTTAAGGCGTTACTCCATTTTTCATGAACTTAATACCCTAGATGCATGCTGGATAGCGGTCGATGGGTGGAGTAATAGTAGTAGATACAGGCATGAGTCAGTCTACTTGTCTTGGACGTGATGCCTATATACATGATCATTGTCTTGAATATCATCATAACTATGCGCTTTTCTATCAATTGCCCAACTGTAATTTGTTTACCCACCGTATGCTTTTTGTTCGAGAGAGAAGCCTCTAGTGAAAACTAGGGCCCCGGGTCTACCTTTATCATATATTAAATCCAATACTACCTTGCTGCAATTTAGTTACCATTATTTTTTGTGTGTTTTATTTTATCTATCTATCACCATCAGATTTGATCCTTACAAATAACCGCTAAGGGGATTGACAACCCCCTTGATCGTGCTGGGTGCAAGTATTTGCTCTTTTGTGTGTAGGTGCTGATAACAAGGTTTTTGCGTGGTTCTCCTACTGGATTAATAACTTTGGTTCTTCACTAAGGGAAATACTTATCTCTACTGTACTACATCACCCTCTCCTCTTCGGGGAAATCCCAACGCAACTCACAAGTAGCAAGTACCACTGCGGCATCACGGTAGTACCACTTGGGCGGTACATCCGCTGGTGTCCAGCAGTTACTACCTACAGGTCTCTATTACCTCCCAGGAATTCACAGTAGTGTCGCTTGCTCCCACCGGTAGTACCGCTTGGACGGTACTTCCGCTGGAGTACTGCGCGTACTACCGTGGATTTCGCTATTATTCTGTCTGGAATTCATGGTAGTACCGCTTGCTATTAGCGGTTTTACCGCTTGGGGCGGTACTTCCGCTGGAGTAACGCGCGTACTTCTGTCGAAGTCTCTATTACCCTCTGGCTAATTCGTGGTAGTACCGCTTGTTAGAGGCGGTAGTTCCGCTATGGCAGTACTACCACTCCGGTTCTGCACTGGTCCACTGAGGGTCTCGGACACAACCTCCACACTTAGCGATAGTACCACACCGCCAAGCGGTAGTACCACTTAGAGTGCAGAAAGAAGATAACGGTTAGAATTTTGTCCCCCACTATAAAAGGGGGCCTTCTTCCCAAAGAATACCTACCACTTTCTCCCCATTGCTCCATTGTTTCCCAAAGCTTAAACTCACCTGATCTCCCTCCCTAGCCATCAAAACTTGTTCATTCTCTAGGGTTTGGAGGAGAAGGCCACGATCTACACTTCCATTGAGAGAAGTTTGATTCCTGCCTACTATCCCTTGTGGATCTTGTTACTCTTGGGTGTTTGAGCACCCTAGACGGAAGATTTCACCTCGAAGCCACATTCCATTGGGGTGAAGCTCCGTGGTGGTGTTGGGAGCCTCCAATTAAGTCGTGGAGAGATCCCCAACCTTGTTTGTAAAGGTCCATTCACCACCTTCAAGGGCATAGCTAGTGGATTCACGACATCTTGCATTGTGCGTGAGCATGAGGAGAATACAGTGGTCCTAGTGACTTCTTGGGGAGCATTGTGCCTCCACAGTGCTCCAACGAAGACGTACCTTCCCCAAAAGGAGGGAACTTCGGTAACAGATCCTCGTCTCCATTGACTCCACTTGCGGTTACATCTTACCTTTACTTTGTGCAAGCTTTTATTGTATTTCTATCTTGTGCTTGCCTTTGTTAGTGTTGTTATTGTGTTTGTCATATAGGTTGAACACCTAGTTGCATATCTATACAACATATTTTCTCGTCAAGCCTTAATTTGTTAAAAGAAGTTAAAAATTGATAGTCACCTATTCAACCCTTCCCTCTAGTCGACCATACCGATCCTTTCACCAGAGTTATTCATCGGTATCATTGATATGAAATCACATCTTGTGCTTTCGGTAGGGGTAATCAATGCAATTGATGATAGGTCTCCTCATAGCACCTCTAAATTTTCACGTAACTCCAAATGATTAAACCAAAATCACATAGAGACAAGTGAATACCATTCTGTGGTACCAATTGTAGGATCAACGTTATCGACCATAGGGGTGTGAATGTGTGATTTTAAAAAATCTTCTAAAACTTGAAATACTATAGGAAATAGAAGAATAACAAGACAACAACACAAAGGCAAATTAGAGGAATAACTAGAAAAATTACTTAGGATGCAAGTCAAAACTCCTGAGATAGAGATAGAGGTGTGCGAGCAAGCAAATGACCAAGTAGAAGTACAAGTACTCGAGACTAACAAACAAGAAGATGCATTTGAGAAAGCTAAACAAAGTACAACACTAAACATGTAGATATGCATAGTCTTCACATCAATCACAAAGAAGGATAGAAATAGAAAGTATTTTGAAACACAAAGGAATTTAACAAGTAAAACAATGTGAAGAAATAAAACATATTTGCTCTTAGAAGACAATGCCATGTGTTCACCCAGTTCAACTTGCTAGCACAACTATAAATCTGGTTGGAGAGGCTCAACCCCATCTCCGAAGACACAAAATTCTCCGCCTTGTCATCCTTGAACTAAGTTCCCCATAACTCATCCAATCACTCGTGGTAGATCTTGAGGTGATCTCCGTATCTTCACAGACTAGTTCTTCGGCGAATCCACACTCTAGATGCTCTTCAACAGTATAACCGTCTAGAGGGTGCACAATCCTCAAGAGTAGGAAGTGAAGCAAAGGAGTGTAGGATGCATGCAACGAGATCTTGATGGTTGGGGATGGAGGAAGATGATGACGTGGAGATATGTTGAAGGACTCCAGCTGCTCCTCATGTCGTGTCGCGAGGACCGCCGACCGCTGCTGCTCCCCGCTCCCCTGTGGCGCGTTAGCTAGCTCATAAAAGGAAGTCGAAGGGGATGCTAGAGGAGATCACAAGATCCACGGCTAGTGGTCGGCAGAGGAAATCTCTCGGATATGATCAGGGGAGGTGGATGAGACCGAGGGTGGGAGTGTTCCGGTAACGCAATGAGGTTGCGGGTGGGATGGGCGTAATCAAGTGAAAATTGACGTGATACTCATTTACACGGTATCCATTACGGTCTAGTGCAATTAAACACATGGACCGATTTTTGTGGTGCCAATGTAATCAGGGAAACGGGATGAAATTAGCGAAACAAACATCTTCTTGCTGATGATCATATGTTATTTGATTATACTAAGAATCTTCCATTTCGTAAAAAGAAATTAACATTATGCAGTATACTCAACCCATACGGTAAGGAAGAGTGTAACAGAAAAGAGTCAAAGTGGAGAGGAGGGTGAAGAGAGGTGGAGGCAAATGAAGTTCGTACCAAACTTTCAATACAGCTGGGCAAATCTAGAACAGAAAGCTGAGCAACCCGGCCCAGCCAGTGACGCTGCCACCTGCTGCTAGAAGTTTCACACCCCGGTCCGCACCTGCCAGCCTCCGGTGACGTTGCCACCCGGAAGTTACCGGCGCCGCCGGTTCCCACCCCACCCCGCCTCTCCAGTCTCTGCCTTGACCCTCCAACTCTTCCCACCTTCTTCGGGCTTCGCTTCAGCTCAGCTGAGTAGGGAGCTGCAAAGATATTTCCTTTCTTCTTTTCCGTCTGCCCCCCAACTGCTCCGCACTTTCCTTCTCTCCTTCCTTTCTCCCGATCTGAGCAACACCCAGTCGCTCGCTCGATTGATCCCCACAGCCCCGATCCTCGAGTGGTAAAGTAGCCAGATTAGTCGGCGTTCTGCTTCCTGCTCAGCCCAGATTAGATTTGCTTGTCTTGTTGTTTTTTTGCTGCGGCGCTCGCTCCAATTCGGTCAAGGTTTTCTACTCCTAGGTCTTCCTTGATTTGTTGCGCTTTATTGGCGTCCAGTTCATCCGCCGCGGAATAGCCCGATTCGCTTCTAGCTGTGTCCCCTTGCTCACGAGTTAATAGCCTTGACTTCATTTTGTCTTCTTGGAGGCAAAAAAATTTGTCCTCGTTGTGTTGGAGGAGAAGGGGGATGCAAACTTTGTTGCGACCACTCTTGCATCTCCATTTTTAAGTACTATATATGCTTGTCTCAGGCATGAGATGCTTGTGAATTTTACGGTCCAGTTCGTTGTGCCGATGTCTCCTCTGGTCCATCTGCTCGCTCTGCTCTTCCTTCTCTGCTCGTCTCTGGCTTTGGCTTCCGGGTCCGAGCCAACCCTTTCATGGGCCTGTGGAGATGAACAAGCTTCCATCTTGGAGACCTCTGATGGCCGTCAAAACCTGTCCATCAATGGGGTTTTGGTGAAGGACCGTGCTCAAGGCTGCGACAGGCTCCGGTCCTACTTTGGGAGTGGTTGCCTCAGCTGCGATGAGCGGTCGCAATCTTGGAGGAGTGCGTGGATGCGCTACTGTGGCGATGATGGGAGTCAATCGAGCTATGGTGAGTGGCTTCTAGGTTTCTAGCTTCAGCTGTGTCCGCAGTTTGCCGCAGTTTGTTCGATATGTTTATGTTTGTATAAGAGCTTGAATTGGCAAAGTATATATGGAAGTTTGGTCATTTGATGACCCGGTGCATGTCCTGGCATGCACCGAGTAGTAATGAACAAAGTGACTTTTTGAACTGAAAATGGACAAAGTGACTGGTCAAGTCTAGCCAAATATTAGTTGCTGTACCTGAATCTGTTTTATATTCGACTTAAAATGCTTGATTGCGGTTGCTGGATTGTGCTGTGCTGAGCCTATATTATAAATTTACCATCAAGTATGAAAAGATTGGCACAGCAATAGGGGAAAACAGGTTATACAAATGATAAAATTGGCAAAAGCTGGTCAAGACAAATAGGATTATCATAATGCACTACAATACCAAACACAACCTAAGTACCATATATCTGAATTTTGAGGTATGATTCTGTTTACAACACATGCATTGTACTGACTGATTCGGTTTACAACACATGAATTGTACTGATTGAAGCTGTTGTTGGTACTTCGTGTAACACTAGCATTCATGCATCCTACTATTATTCTTTAGTTTTGGTGTAGACGTTGGTTCTATGGGAATGCCACTTCTATTCTATGCCATAAACTGACTATATCCGTTAATGTGAGCCGTGGGTGTACAGACCCACCACTCAGATTCTTGTCATCTTCAGCTCGAATGAGTGCCTATTTCCTCTATAAATAAATCGTTACCTAATTCCTCGTAGGTATTCTAGTTACTTGTATATTTTCTAAGTTCTGTTTACACACATGCTTTGTTATGAAATGTAGTAACTTCAACTCCAAACATACCAAGGAGGCTTTTGAAGCAGTCGTCAGAGAATGGCGCAAAAGCTGAAGATGACCCATGTAGGAACATGGGTCTACACGAAAATAAACATGATGCCAATGATTCTTCCGAAAAAGAGGATCCTCTGTTGGCTGTGCCAGGTGTGCTTCTCATATGCTGTGGTCTCATGCTCCCATGTTTTCACGCCGAAAGAAAAGAAGGAAGAAGACACAATACTACATCCATTCAGCGCAATGCTGGTGAGTCAATACATCATGTGTTATTGTCCTTTTTCCTTTTGCAACAAATGTGTTATTGTCCGTTAATATTTGGGAAAAGCCAATTCTTGCTGTCATCCTTGTAGTGGGATCAAAAGTAAATACACCAAAATACTAGTAGTTGTCTGGACTCAAATTGGAGTAGGCTAATTTGGGATAATCGTTTTAAAAAAGTCTATCTTGTTCAAGCACTATACTGGGTATGCTTGGTCAATAATAATGCATGCATGAGAGTTTGGTTACAAAGATGTTGATATTGGGTGATGTTCACACCACCACCCTCAAATCACACATTTTTTTAGTTATTAGTTGGACGCCTGTGTGTTGCTACAAAAGTGATGTTAGTATAATCATGTGAAACGTCTATATTCATACAAAACTGATGCGAAAAAAAGACTGAACTTCAGAAAAAGTGGCAATGCACAAATAGAATACCGTAAACCTGATCATAACGCGTAAAAAGAGAGCCCACACAATGACACAAGATAGTGGAGAGTGTGAGCAGATGACCCCACATGCCAGCAACTTAGGTTCAGTGAAGAGGAAGTAAGATGGCAAACAGACCATCAACTTTAATATCTGCTGGAGTTAAGGTGTGGAAATTAATGTTCAGCTATGATACTAGGCTTATCAAAAGTTGATTCACAGTTGTATGCATTTGCAAACTTTTTATCTACCTGTTAGATACCAGCCCAGCTTCTCCTAACTACAGTGTCCATTTCCGTAGTAGGTCAGCCATACCATTTCCACACCCGCTGTGTGAACTTATGAGGAAATGATTTCTGTTGAGATTATAAAATGTTATACCTATGTCAAGTTTAATAATCTTCCATTGCGTAATGTTGGTTCAATATTATATAGCTCTTCTCATGCGGTGCTCATCTTACTGGCTCAGTTTAGATGTCCTTTCATCTCATTGCACACAGATCATTGACAGAGTTAATGCGCTGCATTTTTCACGTAGGTTGACCATATTAATCTATATCCATCTATCCGATATGAAAATCAATAAGCAATGTATAGTTTTATTTGGACTAAAATGTTCCCTGGAAGAATCACAACAGAGTATTTGCAAATTTATAGCTAACCACTTTGGGAAGCATTTGAATACTTTCATATTGCGTGAACTATCTCAGTTCTGAAATGCGCCTCCGACTGTTAAATGGTTTGTAGGATCAATGTTTTATGACAGTGTCCATTGCGGTCCACTGTTAACCTTTGTTGCATTCTTCTCTAAACAATCAAATGTTTCTTTACAGTTGATTCTCTTTCATCCTTCGACGTAAGCACATCATCCGAGAAGATCCCACCAACTCCACATCGAATACCTCCAAGCCCATCTAGATTCGCACCGTCTCCACATATTGCTCGAGTTGGATCTGTTGACTTAAGTGTCCAGCAGATTCTCAGGGCGACTCAGAATTTCTCACATTCATTTAAATTGGGTGAAGGAGGATTTGGGACTGTCTACAGGGCTGTATTGTCAGATGGCCAGGTTGTTGCAGTCAAGAGAGCTAAAAAGGTAGTGACATGCTATTGTTTCTTATCTTTTGCTGTTATTATTGATACTTATCAAACTGTCTTGGTTGCGTATGTGTTCATTATATTTGCTCAATTAAGATTTTCTTTTGGATGAGATGTGGCACAACTTATACAGTTACTAGGAGCACTTCTTCAGGTGGAAACTCTGATTTTAGTTCTTTGGTTCTCTGCTAGCGACGCATAATTGGTTCTATTATTTATTACAGGATCAGTTTGCGGGTCCCAGTGATGAGTTCAGCAATGAAGTAGAACTGCTTGCTAAGATTGACCACCGGAATTTGGTGAGATTACTGGGTTATACTGATAAAGGAAATGAGCGGATTATTATCACTGAGTATGTTCCAAATGGCACTTTGAGAGAACATCTCGATGGTAAATAGCATTTCCTGCCCTTGCTGTTTGGTTAAGCCTCAACTGTTATATACTTATATGTATTTGTTCATTCTGCAGGCCAACATGGCAGAACCCTGGATTTTAATCAACGCCTAGAAATTGCGATTGATATTGCTCATGCACTCACTTATCTCCATCTATATGCAGGTAGATAATCTACATGCTTGTTCCATGGATATTGATGCACTGCAACTTAAATACGTTAGATTCAACATTATGAACTTAGTGAATAATATGAATGAATTAAGTTAATCATTTTTTTGCATATGGCAGTGTTATTTTTGTTAGCTATTTAGCTATGGCAATTTCGGAAACTTGTTTTGATGAAATTTGTTATTGGAAATAATGCTTGAGGGACTGAGAACTTCTATAATGTGAACAGAGAAGACAATAATCCATCGCGATGTGAAGTCATCAAATATACTTCTAACAGACAGCTACCGGGCCAAGGTGTCGGACTTCGGGTTTGCTAGAAGTGGCCCTAGTGACACAGAGAAGACACACATCTCCACGAAAGTGAAAGGAACTGCTGGCTACCTGGACCCTGAGTACCTAAGAACGTACCAGCTCACTCCTAAAAGTGATGTCTTCTCTTTTGGCATACTTCTTGTAGAAATTATTTCTGCCCGTCGACCTGTAGAGCTGAAGCGGGCCGCTGAAGAGAGGATTACTATCAGATGGGTATGTTAGATGACTTTTTCTTTCATTTCCAATGCATGACTATCAGTTCTAGTAATGATAAAGTATGGTTTGTCAGTACTCTTATCATTCCCTTCAGAATGTCATTTTGGAATGTGTACCTAACATTTAAAAACTAGACCAGTACCATACACAGAGTTATTTAGACTTACCACGTGTAAATGATGTTAATAGATTTATTTCAGTCAATATTTATACAATTATATTTTTATAACTGTTTTGACATATTAGTAGACAATAATCGTGAAAGGTGTATTACTATTAGAGGTATCATGCTGTTATTGACCTAATCTTATCTTTTCAGAACTTTGTGCTCAGTTTAAAATATACTACCTCCGTCTGGGTATTAGTCTTGTATTTTGGGTTAAAGTTTGACCTTTGATTTAACTACCAAAAAATAAGTTATATACCAAAAAAGTAGTATCATTGGAAACCTCTTTTGAATATGAATCTGACAATATAAGTTTTGTGACATACAATATATATTGTGTTAGTCAAATCTACGGTCAACATTGGACACAAAATACGAAGGGGACCAATAAACCCAGACGGAGGTAGTACATGTAATATCATAGCAGCAGATCTCTAGCAAAACTCACTTGCAATGAAAAAGTAGGTTGACATTTCATTTTATTTGTGTTCCCAACATGAGAAAGATGATGGGTATTTCATTTAACTCTGTATTTTCCGTAGACTTTCAAGAAATTCAATGAAGGCAACATGAGAGAGATACTGGACCCGCTGCTGGAAGACCGCGTGGACGAGGAGGTGTTGGAGAAGCTTCTGAGTTTGGCGTTCCAGTGCGCCGCTCCCACGCGGGAGGACCGTCCGACCATGAAGGAGGTCGGGGAGCAGCTGTGGGAGATCAGGAAAGAGTATGGGAAGAGCGTCAGGAGAGCGTGAAATCATGTGCTCTTTTAACCACGACCGGAGCATACACAAATTCTTTCCATGAACATCTTGATGGTAATGTTTTGTGCTCACAGAATGGAATGTGCTCTTGAACAATGTACAGACGAACCAGCAATTTGTGTCTTCCTTCCTAACCACTTTGCAGTCTTCTTTCTCCGTGGACTTATTGTCCTCTTTGCTGACTGTGCGCGCGTGCCATACACTCCGTGCATGAAATTTCTCTCTGGAGTTTGTTCTCAGTTTAGACAGACAAAATGAAATTTGAAATTTGTCCGTATTGAAAGTGAAAATCTTTCCCTTTTTGATCTGGAACCAAGCAAGTATCCCCCTGTTGTTTCTATGGAAGTGTTGAAATGGGAACTTCATATATATTTTTAGATTGCAAAACTACGGACCATGTTTCTTAATTTTTTCTACAGGAAAGGTCATCATGGCTAGCTTTATTAATATCAGAACAACATTACATCACCCACAAGCTTTATTAATATCAAAACAACATTACATCATTCACAAGCTTGTTGACAAGACAATGTGCTTGTTACAGTAATTGAGTTTGTCAGTCCAACTAAACGAGTTCTTGTTATAGTAATGAAAATTAGCTAGCACATTGTTTGATTAGCTGAACAAAAACAATGTTTACAAGAGACCTTCTCAATCATTGAAGCTAAGTCTAAACTTTTGCAAAGATCGCCGCAGCATCTGCTGAGATGCTGCGTCCCACCATCTTGATTGGCCAATACAAAAGTTGTTCACCTGTAAGGAGTCTGATTCCAAAGAAATGATCACTTGTAGGCAGTCTTGATTGGCCAATACAAAAGTTGATCACCTGTAGGGAGTCTGATTCCACGGAGGTGATCACTTGTAGGGAGTCTGGTTCCGCCTCTGCCCGATGGAAACCTAGCGAGTTAGCAAATTCCAGTCCATTATGCATTGCCATTGCCTCAGTGGTAATATCATCAGCAGCAAAATAGATATAATCGCACTGTATTGCCAGAAAATTACCTCACTCGTGCCTTATGATGGTTGCTGTTGCTCCTACTCCTTCCTCTTCAAAAAACGCCGCATCAACTTTTAGTTTTATGAATTTCGGCTCAGGTCTGGACCATTCGTGATCAAGTTCCAGGCTCGCTGGAAGTTGCTTGCTATTGCTATGACAGAGAGCGATCATCTGAAGGGTGGTGGAGAAGGAGAAGCTTCATTATGCGTAATTCGGCGCCTGATCCACCAAAAGCACCACCAGCCCTCCGCCAGGACTTGGTTAACATCCAAACTTGGCATAATTTGAGCTTGGACTAGATGTTAGGAGAAGCAAATGTTCCATGATAACCAACCTAGACCGATCAACATGAATCGCTGAAGAGATAAGGTCATCCAAGCCTAGGCGCTTCCATAGATCCTTGGCATGTGTGCATTGGAATAGAAGATGCCGACCATCTTTAGCGTCTTGATGATAGATCAAACATCCACTAACTGTTCCAATGTGCATATTTGCACGTATACCTTTTAGCTGGACGATTCCATGCAGTAATCTCCAATAAAATATTAGAAATTTACATGGGACTTGAATTTTCCATAGAGCACTCCAAACAGCCGGCTATGTAGAGCTTCCTGGGTGAGATAGCATGTTTGCATAGCCTCTGTAAGATTGTGTCGGTGTACTAAGATTTGGGTCCTTAGGGTGTGTTTGTTTGGGCTCCTAGGAGTGGCTTCTGCAGCTTCTGGCCCAAAGAAGCCGGAGCCCAAACAAACATGCAATTTTTGGGCCGGCTCTACGCAGCTCTTCCATGGAGCGCTCCGCGAAAACAACACGGAAGCCGCGGCCGTAAAATAGAGGCTTCTCGCAGCCTCAACTGGCTCCAAATCGATGTTTTACCCTTTTGCCCTCCCACCAAACACCATATAACATTCAAATTGCCCTAACCAGTTCATTTCTCCCTCGCCTATTCTCTCTCTCACCTCGATTGACCACACCTTTCCTTTGACGGCGTCCGCCATTACCAGCCCGATCTCCGGCCACCGCCGTCCGTTTTCTCCTCCGGCCATAGCTTCAAAGACCCCCACCTCCACCCCGTACCCGAGCATATTTTATCCTCCGCCTTTTCTAGAGACACCGGCTATGTCTCCAGCTCACAGACGTAGCACCGCCGCCCCATGCACCGGAGGCCGCCTCGCCTCCCCAAGTATGGAGGCCGGCTAGCAAGTCCCCTATGCCACGGCTGCGACCGCCCAGATCACCGTCTTCTGGGCTCCACAGGCACCGACAAATTGAGCTCACTGGACACATGGCAGCTCGCTGCTGAAGATATAGCTTTAATGACACCCATTCAGGCAAATGTTTCAAGGAAATAGAAGGTAGATGGGCAAACGACACAGAAGGAGAGACCATTGTTGCCGAAGAGCTCCATCCACAAGTGATGTAGGGTGGAACCCTAGGGGGCGATCTTTCATGATTTGGAGGAGGGTCCCGCGAAGAACACGAAGAACACATGAAGAAGGGGAGAGAAACCACAAGGGGAAACACTCAAGAACAAGTCCAATCACACATCCACTAGACTAACAAACACATGGATCCACAAGGTACATGAACAACAAAGGGAAATCAGTACTAGATAGAGTTCATCACAAATCCAAAGGAGATGGGGTCTTGATGGTCTAGATGATCCTTCCCCGATGGGAGGGGGGGAGTCTTGATATCCCTCGAGATCTTCTCCAAAGGAGGTCTTGAACTCCAATGGAGTGGTGTCTCTCTTTCTCAAGAGTAGTGGTAGGAGCAAAACTCAACTAGAAATGAGCTATCATATTTGCTGACCCTAAAAATGGGGAGGAGGAGGTCTATTTATAGTCTAAGGAGAATGGGTAAGTTAGGTGGGCGAATGGGTACATGGGCCTCGGCCCGGAGGCATGCAGGCAAGGCCAGATGATCAGGCCATCAGGGGTCCGGATGACCCAGGCGGAGTCCCGGATGATCCGGCTTCGGATGGGTCCGTGCCGTCTTCATCGCCGTCGTAGCTGGACGATCCAGGAGAGGTTTCGGATGATCCGGCTGAGCCTGGATATCCGGCCTGTCTCCGGTAGCTACTCCATCTTCTTCTCATTTCTTCCGTCTTCTCTTCCACACTTCCCTCGTAGATGGTGTAGTTGTTCCTTGGCGCTTGCACTCCTCCTCGACATTCGTGAAGCTTCGACAATACCTATGCATGCACGATGGAGGGTCAAGTAGTACAACATCCTCGAAGGGGTCAAGAGAGCACGTGTAAAGGATTTGATTCACCTGTATGTATGTGAAGTATATGTCGCACATGTCACTTGCCAAATGGATTCTTAACATGGTGATGTCCGTAGGATGCTCCGCATCTCATCCTCTCCCCCTTGGGAAAGATCCGACCTCGGATCGAAAACCAAATCACCATGGGAAAGAGATGGCGTCGTCATGTAGAAGTGGACGATCACCAAGCACTCGTCATCTTGAAGCTCGAAATGGGCACTCTCCAATGCCGCACCGTCTCGTGATTCCTTCAAATGGAGTAAATAGAACAAACACTTGGAAGAACAAATGTGGTTAGCGTTAGTGCAAAACCAAGCATTCAAGCGGTGATTGACCCAACAAGTGTCATCATCAAGCATAGCATATGGATTGACAATGGATTGTAGCATGTCATGTAAGCATATGGATTGAGCATAATGGAATGCACCATGAAAACAAGCATGCAAATAAGAGGTAGAGTGCTAATATGTGTGACAAGTGAACAAACATCTACCTTATGTTCATAGCAAGCATGCATAAAGTGCTCAACAGATGGTCTATGGTATGCATATGAACCATTCACAACACCAAAGAAAATGAAGTGTCTAAACACATGTGGCAAGACAATCCAAGCATAATGTGCATAGGGTGTAGTGAAATTCGAGCAACACTTAACACAATAGAAAGAGCAATTGTTCAACATGTGTGAGGCAATCAAGGCAAGCATGTAGCAGTCAATGGGGCATGGCATATGTGAAGTGATGACATTGTTGCAACCAAGCATATTATAGGAGCAAGCAATCCAAGAATTGGATGCAACACACAAGGTATATATGTCATGAGGCATGGCAATGTGGCAATGATAAGTTGAAGCAAGATCTCTAGCATGTGTGCAATATGTCAAGGTGCAAGCAACACATGAAGTATGATCCACAATATTCATGCTCATGGTTTGGGGGTTCTCAAAAGAGAAGGATATCACCTTGAAAGCATGTCCTTATGCATCCTTCACAACGCCGAAGCACAAGCAAGTGTGATGTAGGAGCGAGTCGGTCGCAAGTGGTTCGCTCACAAGAGCTCGAATGGTCAACTCACATGAAGTGGAAGTTGACACCAAGTCGAAGTATCCTACACATGCACAAAAGAAAGCAAACAACGTATGTGCGTGGTAGATAAACACATCATCCATCATGATGGTTCTCTTCTCTTGCACATAAACATTAGAAGCACAAGTGCATGAATAATATGATGCAACAATGGCGATATCCATGGCACTAGGTATATGGTGCAAACAATTAAGGCAAGCATGCTTCACAAGAAATATGCCAAAATCTCCAAATATATGCGAGAATGCTATGGGGGCAATCTCATAAGCAAGACTAAAAGCATTGTTGCACTCAATACATGGAAAATCTAGCATGAGAGAGGCAACACATGGAGATATATGACAAGAAGCAATAGCAATCATTTGCAAAGCATGGCAATGGTTTTCATCAACCGCATGAAACGAGCAAGTATGAATCATCGGTGATGCAACAAGGCAAGCAATCATAGTAATCAAGTCGTACAAACTAGTGGAGCAAAGATGCAACACACTAGATGAAATCATGGAAATCATGTCATGTGAGCAAATAATAGGCATAGACAATGCACATGACATATTGAAATAACGAACACAAAAAAGATCAAAGTATCATCATAGGCATGGAGCACAAAGCAAACATGGAAATAACAAATTATATCTCCACCAAGCTTGCAAATACATATACAAGTACTAGAATCATGGATCATGTGAGATGCAAAGCATGTCATCCAAATGGAAATGAGCATATCATGTGTGACACCCCGAGACCGACGCCCCAGACGCCTTCCATGTTTTTTGTTGTCACTGTGTGTTTTATTTGCTTGTTGCATTTCATCATGTCATCATGTGCATTGCATCCGCATGTTTTCATAAAACTCGTAGTCATTTGTAGTTGCGCTTCTTCCTCACCTATGTTGACCTTTCTCAAACCAACCATCCTTTTGTTGTCCGACCCTTTGACCCTCTCTGCACTGTTCTCAAACCCCCCTCGCGTGCGTGTCCGAAACTTGCCCCCGAACCCGAACCGGGCTGTCGTTACCGATGGGTCTGGATCATCCTCAAATATCCCTAAAATATCTTCGGTTATTTGTTGGTCTCTCCTAGCTTGTTTTTCTCGGACCGTTTGATTACGACGAAGGGACTAGGATAGCCCCTAACCTAAACCACATGCTATAAATAAACTAGTCCAACCCTAATCTTTAGGAGGCTTGTCCCATCAGTCTCGTCCCCGCCGCCAGCCTTCCACCCACTCGCCTCCCACCTTGGGATCCTCCCAGATCCATCCTGGGCCAACCACCATCTCCCCTTGATCCATCCACCCAACTACACCGCAGCCGCCTCGCCCTTCCCCGCTCCAGGGGATCGTCCTCACGCCTGAGCGCACGCAGCCAGCCGCCTTGCGGCGCCCTCTCCCTTGAGCTCCAACGGGAACCGCGCCCCTGCATCCCCTGCTTCGAGCACCTCATGGAGCATGACCACACGTATCCTCAAGCCCCTGCCCCGAGCACCCCCACAAGCAGCAGCAGTTCCCGCATCTCTGGCGAGCAGGCGCCACCTTTAGCAGGCCGTCCCACTCCCCTGCCTCCTCTCGCGCCTCCTCCTCCCTGTTCCTTCCCCCTCTCTCTCATGCCTCTGCCTCTCTCTCACAGGGAACCACGTCGAGTTCAGGGAGAAATTGAGCACCACCGCCCTTGGGGTTCGTCGCTGACGGCCATCCCCGTCGTCCCGACCTCTTCCCCGCCGTCCTGGCCTCGTCCGTACGCCAAGTCCCTCCATCGGAGCTGAACCCCGCCGCCAAGCCGCCTCCCTAACCTCGAGTCCGTCCAGATCCGCCAAGTTTCGCCATCCGCCATGGCCATGGAGCTCGTCGGTGTCGTCCTCGTGTCGTCCCAGCCTCGTCGTTGTTTTCTGCCTCGCCGGATTTGAGGCCCGCTGCCCCAGCAAGCACCTTGCCGCA